TGATAGGTTACAATCTTGTGAAATTTCAGTTGTACATTAATGTTTGTCAGTCATGTTGTATGTGCACCACTTCACCCTTTGTGCCCACCCCCCACCCCACCTTTCCCGTGGTATCTGCTAAACTGTTCTTAGTCCACATTTTTAAATTCCTCATATGAGTGGAGTTATACACAGATTATCCTTCTCTCGCTGGCTTATTTCACTTAACATAATTCTCTCAAGGTCCATCCATGTTATTGCAAATGGAATGATTTTGTTCTGTTTTGCAGCTGAGTAGTATTCCATTGTATATATGTACCACATCTTCTTTATCCATTCGTCTGTTGATGGGTACTTAGGTTGCTTCCACGTCTTGGCTATTGTAAATAATGCTGCAATGAACATTGGGGTACATAGGACTTTTAGGATTGCTGACTTCAAGCTCTTTGGATAAATACCCAGTAGTGGGATGGCTGGATCGTATGGTAGTTCTATTTTTAATTTTTTGAGGAATCTCCATACTGTTTTCCATAGTGGCTACACCAGTTTTCATTCCCACCAGCAGTGTATGAGGGTTCCTTTTTCTCTGCAACCTCTCCAACATTTGTTACTATTAGTTTTAGATATTTTTGTCATTCTAATGGGTGTAAGGTGATATCTTAGTGAAGTTTTGATTTGCATTTCCCTGATGATCAGCGATGATGAGCATCTTTTCATGTGCCTATTGGCCATCAGTATATCTTCTTTGGAGAAATGTCTGTTCATGTCTCCAGCCCATTTTTTGTTTGGGTTGTTTGATTTTTTGTTGTTGAGTTGCATTTCACCTAACTTTAATCTAATGTAATTTATGTTAAAACACACAATGGTGTACCTTAACATATTTATTGTAAAAAAAAGTTTCTGCATTATTTAATAAACATTTCATATCTCAATAATAGAGCAATTTTATTGTTAACCACTGGATTTACCACCTCAAAGATAGTCATAAAACACATTATAGATGTTTGCTTACTGTATCTATTTTGCCATTCCTACCCTAATATATTCCATGCCATCATGTGAAAGGTTGAACAAAACTCTGTATTTTCAAGGCTCTTAAATTAGCAAGATGCCTTGTTAAATTTAGTTGTTTAGAGTAGACAGACTGTAAAATACTGGGAGGCTACTTCTCTAACTTAAGGTAAAATTTTGAAAGAATGATACATTATTAAAATACCTACACTCCAAATCTGATAAATAGAAATAAAAGTTCCTTATTTGATTTCTGTTTAAAGTTCTCAAAACATAAAACTTGCAAAGTAGGTCTATTCTCGTTGATTAAAAAAAGTTTTTTCAAAAACCCATTTGGCCCTCCTTACAGGCACAAAATCCAACTCAGTTCCAATATTAAAACTACTAAATGCAAAAATAAAGCAAAATGAACAAAAAAACTTGCCATCCTTATCATTTATTTTATAAATGATAATTAAGGATGTTAAATAATAAACAGCATCTACTTCATAAGTATTCAACCAGAGAAAGAAAAAATTCATTTGGTAACAATCCATTATTTACAGTTTTGGTATAACAGCTTTTACTACAACAATAAACTCTCCTGGTGAAATTTACTCTTCTAAAGTACTGAATTATCTAATACACATTACAAAAACAAAATTCATGTATCAACATTTTTATTTTCCTCTAAAACAATGCTATTCTTGAACGTAGTGGCTCTCTCCAATCAGTTTACTATATGTTAGTAGGTATACGTATAATTAGTTCAATCAAAATGTCACATAAACAAAGAAATATCTAAATTCTATACTTTCTATTGCTAGCAATCAAATTTCTCTACTACAGAACATTTCTTTCCTAAATAGAAATTTTTCACATCTTTTCCTTCTTAAAATCCTTTTACTCTTGATTAAAGTTTTAAGGCATTATTTTACAGAATTGAAGATTCATACATAATACACAAAAATATTTTGTCAGCATCTAAACTGAAGATAAAAGGATCTTTCGTTATTCTATTTTCTAATTATTTGTGCTCTTCTAGATAAAGGAAAAATTATCATCATCAACAACTATGTCAAGGTAAAGAATCTGAAAGTGAGGACATCATATTGCCCTTCTGGGACTCAGAATCCTTTAATTCTAAGAAACAAAACCAACTGAAATACTGTATTCCTAAAATCTGATGGTCCCTATAAAACATCACAATCATATCTACCATTTACACAACATGAGATTACTTAAACACTATATATTAAATACTATAACGCATACCACACAGAGTTTCTGTGCAACAATGAAGAGTAAGTACAAACATAGGTTAATAAGCAATTTTAGTCTTTACAATCAAGGATATGGATACTTTTGGTAAAAACAAAGTTTTTCCAATTTTGAGTGACACTAAATTTCCATGTGTAAAAAAGAAAAAACCTTGACCTGTTTAGTAACACTGTTCATCAACTTTTTCTGAAACCTCCTTCTCAGTCTCAATGGGAATAAGTGAGAAGAAATCAATCCCAAATACAAGAGACTCATCACTACTACAAGTGGATTAAAAACATTCACCAAAACATAACGACATGGTTAGATGTAATGCACTGAAACACACTGAAATTTTAAAAATATACCTAATATACTTATTTACTCATTTAAATAGTCACATAAGAAACCTTATTAAAATATGTATTTGCAATTAATATTTTTAAATTAAATCTACCAAGTAAAAATAAAAGATATTTCTTAATATGCTCCCAATAAAAAGTTTTCTCTTTTTTTTTTGCTTGAGGAAGATTTGCCCCAAGCTAAAATCTGTGCCAATCTTCCTCTATTTCATATGTGGGTCGCAGCCACAGCGTGGCCGCCAACAAATGGTGTAGGTTGGCACCCAGGAACCTGACCTGGGCTGTCAAAGCAGAGCACACCGAACTTAACCACTAGGCCACAGGGCTGACTGAACTTAACCACTAGACCACGGAGCCAGCCCCAAAGTTTTCCTTGTTTAAAAAATAAATTCTGCAATTCATGAGAAACTTCACTCACACATATAGGATGTGACACTAGATGTGTGGTAACACGTGTTCCCCAATATGGTAACCTCAGAAGTTACCATCACACCCAAAACTGCTGGTATTCCTGCCCCAGGTTCTTTTAGACAGAATCCCTGAGTACCTTACAAGCTTGGAGACCTAGGAAAGATAAATATGCGCAACATAACTACCAAAGAGACTAGAGACTAGAATCAGGAGAGACTGAAAGTAGAGTTGTTGAAAGAAAAAGAAAAAATAAGTTGCCAAAAAAAAAAAAAACAAGCAAAATCATACTTCAGAGACATCAGATTAGAAGTAAAACGGATGAGGTGACAAAGAAATTTCAAAATAATTTAACTGAGCACCCAGAACACATGAAAATACAACAACAAAAAAAAGCTTCCCATTACAATGCTCACCTTACTTACACCACCACACTCGGATTATTTCCCATTATTTTTCTTTTAAAAAAATTGTTACTGTGACCCACTAAATTCACAAGCCATTAATAGGTGCCAACCTAGTTTGAAAAGCACGGCTTAGAGGAACTGGCAACAACATGAAGGTCCTCACTTTCCTATGAATATCTAGTTTGAGACAACTATTCAGGAGGTGGAAAAAAATAAAAGACAGAATTCCTCTATGGCAGGGACCATATCTTATTGGCACATAATCATCACTTAATGTTTGCTGAATTAATACACTGTGGAATACAAAGCACTTGGAAGGGGAGGACACACCTATAGAGGATACCTAAAAAAAGCTTAGGAGAGCATGAGTACTTTGGATGGTGAAAAGCCAGGGATGATGAAAAGAGCTCCAGGAGGTGGAAAAGTGATACCAAATGACTTTTAAACAAATGAAGTACGAAGAGGAAAGGAAATTTTGTTCTTGAGGACAGACTTTATACTCAACAAAGGAAAAAGCAAATCTCTTGTAGAACTACATAGTAGTCTATTATAGGTACAAAAAGTTTGTAAGCCACCCTTAGTCAGAAATTCTCACCATTTCTTCCAAAAATATATGTTGAGCTCCAAACGTATAAATCCAACTTCAAATCAAAATTACAGAAAGCAACTCATTCTTAAATATCAGACTCCCTGTATTCATTTGTAAACACTAAGTAGCTAGTGTGTGATAGCCAACAACTTATTGAGTGCTTACTATGTATCAGGCAATATGTCAAGTATTTAACAAGGGTTACCCCATTTAAACCTAACAACCTGTAAAGTAGATACTATCTTCATTTTCTAGACAGGGAAAGTGAGGCTTAAAAAGTTACATAAAGAAGTTACACAGCTAATAAATGGTGAAATTAAGGTATATTAAGTGTCTATTATTTTTGGTGGCTGCAAATCAGAATATTTTGTTCTATTCCATTATTTGTTAATGCTTTTCTCTGAAACTAAACTTTGTGTGTTTTTCTAAATGAAGTAATTCATCTACTTCTAAATCTGTATAACACTATCATATTGAATAATTTTATCACAAGAAAAAAATTAGCCCCTTCTCAGTTTAAAGATAACTTAGAGGCCAATTAAATGTAGTTATGTTTAAATAATATCACTGAGATTGGCATTCTGAAGAGGCTATATATCTATTATAGTAACTTAGTAACTTATACTTTTATTTACTTTATTTACATGCCAGGCACTTATATTTTGAAAAACATTTCCACCTTTTAGGGGTCATTTAATTTTGTCACTGGGTAAAAAAACGCAGCCTTAGATTCTATTTCAGAACAAAAAGTCTGCTTCCAGCACAAATGGAAGAGACTGATAGATAAATAATTGTTACCAAATGTTGACAGATACATTCCAACTGAAAATAATTGTTTCTAGTCCCTCCACAGAACTCTTTAATTCATATGGACTTTTTTAGAAGGTATGAGATATCTTTAACGAAATTAAACATCAATTTTTATCACTAAAAATTAAAAGACTTTAATCTAACAATGGAATATAATGGAATGAAATAATACAGGTTTGTACCTTTTTCACTTACATTTAAGAAATCTTGAAGAATATCAACAAATAATCCAGCCATGAACAAGTACAGAAACCTAAAGGCAGATGAACAAACGTTGGCACTCTATTTAATGGAACAATGTTAATTTTACGCAAGATTTGACTAGAAATAACACTTTTTAGAAAAGATTCATTCATATACAATCCTGAACTGAACAGCAGCCCTTATCTAATACATACAAAAAAGCTTCTAATTTCTAAAAAGTTAAATTAGTATGAGTTTACTTATTATAAGTAATAGAGACTACTGATAATGAAAAAGAGATAAAAGGAAAATTTAACTGATTTTAATACACAAATCAGTCAAGTAAAAAATACAGAATTTATTTCCAGTAATTTGAATGACAGATTAATCTCAACTCTAATTTCAATGCCAACAGTTGCCCCCTAGATAACTTCTGGATTAACTAAGTATTCATATCTACTAAGTACCAGCAAATTCTTAAAATAAATTATACTCTTTATGGTTAGTTAAGAGCATCCAGTCTTTCCCATATTCTGTAACTGATCAGTTTCTTTCTTATTAGTGGGATGGCATCATAACATAGGACCAAATATCATGTATATGCCTTGACATACAGAAAGCTTGTTTTATATTAACACACATTCAATTAATTGCCATATCCACAATTCTCCCAAAATCTGTATTACAGAAAATGTAATAATTATTTTCTACTCAGTTCACTCATACTTTTGGTCATGTACACTGTTGTATTTCTTTAAAACCTCTCAAATTTGTTTGAGAAACTATCCTTTAGTTTGGAAGGCAGTTTATTGTCAAGATAATCCTAGACTATTCAAAGGCTTTAAACCCAGCTGATTCTTAGAAATTCTTCCATCTATAAAACATGAGAATTATAACCAAATTAACAAGTCAGATATCAGAATGCCAAAAATTAAGTCATTAAAAGGGAATCCAGAGAAAAAGCCAGTTGTGAAAGAACAGGAAGTGATGTACACTGCCATTTTGAGGATGAACTATGTAGAAACATAAGAAGTACCATACTAATCTGGAATCGACCAACCCAGACTAACAGCTCTCAGTATTCCTTTCTGACAATGGCATCAGAGGTCAGCTGAAATAACCCTCAGGCAATTTTTCCTTAATAATGAATTTACCTAATTGATCACCAACATACTATTCCCACTTTCGGCAGAATTCCTAACAGCTATGGAAAACAGAGTTTCTTCTTAGTTGTCCTAAAGAGTAACTCTCAGTTCTAGCATGCTGAAACATACCAAGTAGTTTACCTATAACCCGTGTACAATCTTGAGTTTTCTAGCCTTTACTGATAAATCGTCTCTGCCTGCATCTTTCCAAGATAAAAACAGTCACTCTTTACTGAGCAGTATGCTTGGGTTTATACACGCTAGTATATATGAATTAATTATCCACAACAAACCCTAACATAAAGAATTAAACTTTATGGCACAATTTGCCATATAGGAGAAAACTCTACACACCACAACATGCAGCTTTGTGTCATGAAATAAAGATTCAAATGAGAAGCGTTGTTTAACTTAAAATGAATTCAGATAATCAAAAAGGAATAAAGAAAGCAAGGCTGTGGAAAAATAAAACTAATTTAACATATCCTTAATGTGTCTCCCTATATCAAAATAATGAAATAAGATGAGAGAAACTAAATGAGTGCCTAACACTACTATTATTATCTTTAAATTCCTGTCTTAAACAGGTTTCAAAATGCAACAAACACACCAAAAAAGTTCTAACGGACAACATTAAATGTAGATGGCCTTTCAAAATATTTAAAAATAAGTCACCCACTAAGTAAAGCTTAAACACCAAATACAACTTGTTAGTAAAATATCAAGACAACTCTCACCTGTACGTATTTTAGTCATGTTCATCACTTTGTGAAAAAATTATTTAATTCTGTATATGGAACATTTTGAAATCACATCATCAGTAAATCTAAATACTTAAAAAAGTATCATCGACAGACTTCAAAACTACTCTTTGGTCACAAAAAAGCACTCAGCAACACACTTGCAGAATAAAATAAAAATAAAATTCTTATTTTTATTCACTTCTACTCTACTAAGGACAAACCAACAAGTACTACTGTAAACTAGATGATTTGTTTTAAACAAATACGACATGAGACAAACAAGTGGAAAAATGACAATGACTACAGAATATAGATTCTATCACAGCATAATTAGTCAAATTAACGTTTATTATTTTTTCATTTAAGAAACAAAAGAATTTGCTATAGAAAGGTTTGTAACCTAATCATTTTCAGAAAATTTCAATTTCAGTGTTCTACAAAATAGTATTAACCCTAAAAATTCACAGCTCAGGGAGAAGGAATGTCCGTCTGTATGCAATAATCTTTAATAATTCTTCAAGAAGTACAAAAGTCATAGGAAGAAAAAAAAAAAGAAAAAATGAGAGGGTACAAAATTATTATTTTTTTAATCCTAACGAAAACTCAATATGCTCACTAAAAAAAATGTCACCCCACTGTTTAAAAGAGAGAGCGAAAGAGACATCAAAACTGTTCTAACATGGCAGGGTCCCTCTCGAGAGGCCATATCCCCCAACAATAAGAACAGGAACAGATACACTTCCTAGGGCCAGATCTCAGGGGAAAAGTATAAACCGGTACTGTTATCGATTTAAAAACCGAAGGAAAAAGGGTAACCTTTCCAAGGGAAGCGCCATTACTTCCCTCCCCTACTCCCCCTCCCTTCAGTGTATACACGGGCCTGTGTATGAAGAAACTGCCTTGGACTTCTGCAGCATTGCAGCAGACTAAAGGATGGGGAAGGGGGAAGGGTAGGGGGAGAGAAATGCTTCCATCACCCCTACGGAAGAGGAGTATAGATTTCCCGAGGGTGGGTGGAATCCATCCAGCAGGCTACCCAGAGCAGTCTCCCTTCCCAAGAATAACACAGACACTACAAAGGAGAAGGAGAGGGAGGAGCAGAGGGACCAGAAGGGAAAGGGACCTCGCGCCTTTAAATCGGGGTGCACATCAACCCAGTCTCCCTATGAGGGCCACACCTTCCACGAGACATCCCCTTCCACCACCCCTTCCGGTGACCCTCAGGAAAGAGGAATGTAATTGCTCTTGCCCCTCAAAACGGGAGGGCGCCCAGCTCCCCAGCTTCCTCACCCCACCCACAGAATCACAGACCCTCCTTGTCTCCCTCCCCCACCCCACCCCCACATCCCTCGCCCCACGCAGAGGCCAGAGTGGGCCGAATTTCCCCGCCCCCTCCAAGTCTCCCTTTCCCAAAGCAGAGGTGCCCTTACCCTTTCGCCGAGAGGTCCGGGGCGGAGTAGGCAGGCGCAGCCCCCTGCAGCGCTCGGGTAGCCGCTCCGCTGGAGGGCGAGGAGTGAGGAGGAGGAGGGGGCCTGGCGACGGACCGCCGCCCCCCCCACCCCGGAGCCCCAGCGAGCCGCCCAGCCCAAGCTCTGCGACAAGGGGCGGGGGGGGGGGGGGGGGGGGGG